TCGTTTGAACCCAGGAGGCGGAGATTGCAGTGAGCCGAGATCACGCCACTGCACTCCAGCCTGGGTGACAAAGCGGGACCCTGTCTCAAAAAAGACAAGAAAAGAAAAAAAAATCTTCTTTCAAAAAACATGTTCCTTCTTCAGACACCTTTAATTGAGAAAATGGGAATGATCTTTTTTATTGGAAAAAGGTTTGAGTACATTTTCAAAGATTGGAAACCGCCAGCTTTTTAACCAACAGCTAAAGTGGAGTCGTGATTCTTTCCTCACGATTCTGGGCCTTACCACTGAGAAAACCAAAGTGTACTGATGCCTTCTGTAGAATGGAGCCTGGCCGGGGACGTGTAAAATCCCTCAGTCTTCTAGATCAGAGAGTCCCTGAAGGGGAAGAAAAAAAGTATTAAACTTTTTTGGGATGGTTTCCTTTATCAAAAGGCTCTTCTGCCCCCCAGCCTCCAAGAGAAGCATCCCGTGGCCCTCTTCTATGAGGACTGGTTGCGGGAGGACCCTTTTAAAGGGATGTTCCTTATTGATTGTCAGGAACAGACTTGCTATTTAAATTTTAACAGTTCTCAGCAAGCTTGCAATTCCAGAGCTGGTGAATGAGCACATCCTTCCCAAACCAATTTTTTTTTTTTTTTTTTTTACAAATCAGGGTGCCCAGAGATGGATCGGGTTCATTTGTATTAGTTTTCACTTTAATCTCTCTTCCTGCCAAACCTTTTATCTTCTAGTGGAAGAGGAAAAAGAATAAATAAGGAATCCTGTAGTTGCAGCAGGACTGAGCAGAGCCCAGAGGTGCAGAGGAAATTAATAGGCCCTGTTGTCAAATCAAACCGTGCAGCAGACTCTGGACCCTGAGGCTGAGGCTCTGGACTTTCAGGAGCTGTTTACACTTGAGTGAAAAAACAGCCAGGATCAGGCAGGGTCAGGCTGGTGGGATGGGGCCGAGGGCAGGAAGACGGCGTCTCCAGCCTTGCTCTGCCTCTCCCTCGGTCTGATTAATCGCCTCAGTCACCTGGTTACAACAGTTGTCCTCTTGACTGTCTCTGTCTGAAACGACGTTTGTTCACTGTGCCTGACAGAGCAGGTGAATGGCTCACTTCTAGACACTGTGATGTCTGAAGGAAGAAAGGGGTGGAAGAAGACCTTTACTGAGTCCAGTGTCAGTCAAGCTTCCTGCGGGAAAAGATGGCGTTCCTGAGTGAGAGCAATCAAGGAGGAAGTTGTAGAAGGGGAATGCTTGCAGAGGTGTGAGTAGAGGGGAGCTGTTCCCTGGGGCTGGTAGCCTCAGAGCGGGTTTCACTCGTAGGTCAAAGAGTCTAAGGCAGTTGCAGAACCCCAGAAGGAGAGATTGTGTAGGGCCACCGCTTGGAAAAGAGGAGGACCCTTTGGATGAAGGACCCAGGTGGCCCCAGGCAGCCTCCCAGTGAGCGGGGAGGAAGAGCCTTAAATTTGCTCCCCTTGTCTATGGGAAGCCTAAGGGCAGGATCCCTTAGGGCAGAGCTGGGTAGGGAGGGTGGAGCTTGGATCTAGGGAGAGGGAGGTACCCTGGGCCAAGCTTACAGCTAGATGCTTTCAATGTATGTTATTTCATACTCGGGAGCGTCTTGGGGATTATATGTTATCCCCCATCTTTTCATCATTTCTATTGATTGATTGATTGATTGAGATGGAGTTTCGCTCTCGTCGCCCAGGCTGGAGTGCAGTGGCGCGATCCTAGCTCACTGCAACTTCTGCCTCTCGGGTTTAAGCAGTTCTCTGCCCCAGCCTCCTGAGTAGCTGGGATTACAGGCACTCGCCACCAGGCCCAGGTACATTTTTGTATTTTTAGTAGAGATAGGGTTTCACCATCTTGGCCAGGCTGGTCTTAAACTCCTGACCTCGTGATCCACCCGCCTCGGCCTCCCAGAGTGCAGGGATTACAGGCATAAACACACATTAAGAAAACACCATGTTCACCGTTTCTAAGTGCACAGTTCTGTGGCATTAAACACGTTCACACTGTTTTACCACCGTCACCACCATCCTTCTCTAGAGCTCTTTTCATGTTGCAAAACTTCTGCCTCACTAAACAATAACTCCCCATTTCTCCTTACCCTACTCCTCCTACTTTCTGTCTCTGTGAATTTAACTGTTCTAGATGTCTCATACAAGTGGAATCATATAGCATTCGTCTTTTTGTGACTTATTTCACATCATATACTGTGCTCAAGGTTCATCCATGTTCTGGCATTTGTCCTAATTTCCTTCATTTAAAAAGCTGAATAGTAGCCATTGTATGGGCAGATCACATTCTGTTTACCCATTCATCCATTGGTGGGCAGTTGGGTTTGCTAGCAATAATACTCAAAATCCTAAGGAAATTGAACACTCGAACGAAGGATTCTTAGCAAAGCAATTTTACTTCTGCACAGAGGGGTGCCTCCTTGGCCGGTCGCCATGAGAGCACACCTGAACAAAAGGCACGAGACCCTTTATTCCTGACGCAAGTCCTGCCCCTGTACCCTTTCCCCGTTGGCTGGGGCCGGGTTGTACAATCTAAACTAATCCCGGTTGGCTAAACTTTTGCTTTTTTTAGATAAGGTGGGCACGTGAAAGAAAGCGGAGAGGAAAGGGGAAGGGGGGTCTGTAATGAGCTAGAAAGTGAGTCCTCTTTGCAAATAAGGAAAGGAATGTGAGCTGGTACTGATAACGCCTGGTACTGTGGCATCTAACAAAGGCAAAAAGGAAGAAAAGGGAAAAGGCAGCGGGGTGGAGGGTACTATAAATTAAAGAATAAAAGATTGATTGAGTTCTTTGAAGAGAAACCTCATCATATCCTACAAGTTGCTTCTACCCCTTTTGGCTACTGTGAATAAGGCTACTGTGAACACAGGTGTGCACATATCTCTTCAAACCCCTCCTTTCAGTTCCTTTGGGTGTATACTCCGAAGCAGAATTGCTGGATTATATGGTAATTCTGTCTGAATTTTTTTGAGGAGCCACCATACTGTTTTCTGTAGCAGCTACCCCATTTTGCATTTGCAACAACAGTGCAATGGAGTGGAATTTCTCCACATCCTTCCCAACACCTGTTATATTCTGTTTGTGTGTGTGTGTGTTTCTAGTAATAGCCACCCTAGTGGGTGTTAGATGCAATATCATTGCAGTTCTGATTTGTCCACTGTTTTCACAGAAGTTCAAACAAAACTGAACACCCTTAAGTGAGAGAGCTCATCGTCAGCTGTGGTCTCCATGCTTCTTTCTTCTACATACCAGTTCTCTTCAGAATGAGAACGGTATTTCCATGGAAGCTGGACTTGGCACGAAGGGGCCCTGCCTTCTACCAACTGAGTCCAGTTGCCCTGATACTGGGAAGGACCTTTCGTCTTCCACATTGACAAACGGCTGTTTTCCGTAAGGGAGACTGCTTGGCAAACCAGATCGCCACGAGCTGCGTGGTGCCAGTGGAAGGATTTCAGGCTCCCAGAGTGAAAAGGGAAGTTGCTGTGAGTTCTTCCATAGGTAACTGGGAATGCACACATTTTGTTTTTAAAGAAGACACACAGAGAGGGGGATCCTCATCAGCTGCCCATTATCCATGTCACTGGAAATCAAAAGCCAGGAACACTGAAATGCCCAGCTGGTGGCGAAGACTGCATTCCCAGAAACCCATTTTTGGAAGCAGCTTTATTTGAAATAACTAAAAAGATTCCATCTTCCTAGCCAACTGGCTTCATGCTTCGGAGCAGCTTAACTTTGTGTTAAGGAATCCAGTGAGCAGATTCTGAATTAGTGATAGACATCTCTGTGTGAGGCCACTGAAGTTGCCTTTGAGAGTCTCATTTTCATTTTGGAGCAATTTATGGCCACTGCTTGTGATAGGTAAGGAGCTGGAGTGCATTTCCGATGAGCTCGCAGGCGCGGACTCGCGAATCCCCGCGGTTCGGGCTGTTGGTTTTTGGAGTAGCGGCTGGGATTTTATGTGTGAATGTTGACATGCAGCTGGTACCGTCTGCAGGCTCCGCCTAGCCCAGCACCGTGGTAGAAGGCGTGCGCCACCTCTTTCTGACCATCTCTAACGGGGTGAGAGGGACCTTAGCACCACTTCAGGTCAGCGAGACAGCTCGATTTCCAAAAGAATTTCCCCCACCCAGGTCTTACTTCACTAATAACTTGAAAATTCAGTTCAGGCATCATCGCAACTCAGAATGGAAACCGACAGCGGATGCTGGAAGTCACTGCCAAGACCTTGTTCATTCCAAGGCATCACTCTACAAAATGATTGGGCTGAAAAGCATGTTTAAACTCTGCAAAAAAAAAAAAAAAAAAAAAAATACACACAAGGGTGTAGGATCTCCAGCAGAACCTTCAGAAACCTTGCCGGCGAGAGCGCATTTGGCTGGCAGAGTCGCTCTTGCACACCTGCTGGAAAGCTGGGTGGGAAGATATTCTAAACTCGCTGTGAATTTCATTACGTCTCTCTCCAGCCAAAGCCACTCAGGGGTGTGGTGGCGTAATGGGTCTGCCACGCAGATGGGCTGCGAAATACACAGCCCATCTGTCTTTATCGTGCTCATTTCCTCTTTTATTAAAATGTTAATGAATATAGTTTTTATTTATCATTCAGTGACATGTGCAGCATCCTTTTCTGGGAGACAAATCTGCAATCTGCCTAACCACGTGAGCCGACAGAGAACTTTCTCCCCTTACATACCGAACACAGGAATTAGGGACGTTTTGGTTCCTTTTAAACCGCCACATGCAGGTTGCACAAAATAATCCCTTTGCTCATTGATGGCGGCATGGGGTGGGGGAGTTTCCTTTCTGGCTTGCAGATTACTAGCCACATGACTGCAGCCTCCGTTTCCACACCTGCTCAATGGGATAAGTATTCCTTCTCCTAGTGCTGTCCTGCTAAGCAAATGAGATGTTCCCTGAGAAGGCCTTGGCATTCACCTCTTATTATTCAGACATGCACTTCTGTGGGCTTGAATTCGTTTTCTTCATTCTTTCAGACTCTCCGTGGAAAGTGCATCTGTCAAATGTTGGCCCCGAGATGACAGGGGTCACCGTGAGCGGCCTGACTCCGGCTCGCACCTATCAATTCCGGTTGTGCGCAGTGAACGAAGTGGGCAGGGGCCAGTACAGCGCTGAAACAAGCAGGTGCGTGAATCCCGCCCCAGGTGGGAGCGCGGAACAGCCAGGGGCCTGAATGCCAAACAGAAGCATCACAATAGGTGGTGGAATTGATCACAGCAACCCACTGGCCTCCCTCAGGGAGACTGCCCAAAACATGAGCAGAAAAGCCTGTCACAAAGAGGGAAACACCGTCCCACGCAGGCTTAGCTGGGCCTTCCTTCGTTGCTGTGAGGCAGGTTTCTTGGATTTTTCCTGTGGCGATCTGGCTGTGCCTACATAAATCGCTCCTGACAGCACAGCCCTCTGTACACAGGAAATTAAGAGCTTACGTGTTTTCCATGTCCTTTGCCCACCCCACTGCCGGGTGGAAGCTGGTGCCACAGTCTTAACAAGTCAACACCCAGCGTGCTGTAAGGGAAGCCAAAGACTCCTCTGTCTCTGCCGAGGCTTTGCGTTCCTGAGCGGTCTTCATGCTCTCCCATCCCTGTGAGGGCCGCCTCTGAAAAAATCTCATTCGGAGGTGACATGGGAAAATGGCTTCATCACATTTCAGCACGCCCTCCCCAACCAACCTGAGCTTTCAGTGGGCTTGACTTGTGGAACAGCTGAGCTCTAAATCCTTTTTTCCCCCAAAACGTGGGAGTTTGATATGAGAAATATTGAAAGAGCCGAAGAAAACAGTTTGGGAGGAGTCTGAGACGGCGGGCCCAGGAGCGGATACGTTCAGGTTTACGGTCTTTCTAAAAGGCTGAGGTGCTGGCGCTACTCACACAGAACAAAGTCACCTCTGCGCCTTCCTCGCTGCTTGGTTAACTGATTTTCTGTTATGTTGATTTGTGGTAACTGTTTCTCATGTCCTTTCGGTTTCGTGGGCTGTGAGTTTTGCTTTTCTTGAAACCCGATTTTCGTGAGTAGTCAGGCTCAAGATTCAGCAAGATAGATGAAATGCAAAGGGGCCCCCCTTGTTTCTAGTACTCATCTCTCTTGTTCCTACCCATCTTTTATGTTTAGGTTGATGCTACCTGAAGAACCACCCAGTGCTCCCCCGAAAAATATAGTGGCCAGTGGGCGGACCAATCAATCCATTATGGTCCAGTGGCAGCCGCCCCCAGAAACAGAGCACAACGGGGTGTTGCGTGGTTACATCCTCAGGCAAGTACCCCGTGATTGACCATCTTTAGGCCGCCATTAGAGCTGAGCGTCAATTTCACGGAGGGTTGCAAACTCTAATGTCTGTAAGAGCCAAACAGGAACCAAAGGAGGCAGACCAGGTGTGAGATGTTAGGGAGTGGTGGAGACTGTGGCAAACTGGAATGCACAGACCAGCGTGAGCAGCCTTACAGAGACGTTCTGTGCATATTCGACCATAAATGGCACACACAAAACTGGTGTCGGGGTAGCATTTTGGCAGGAGAATGGAGGGAGTATTAGGGGTTGGAAGCAAGGTATAATACTCATTGTGCTTTTTTTTTGAGATGGAGTTTCACTCTTGTCGCCCAGGCTGGAGTGCAGTGGCACGATCTTGGCTCACTGAAACCTCCGCCTCCTGGGTTCAAGCGATTCTCCTGCCTCAGCCTCCCAAGTAGCTGGGATTACAGGCATGTGCCACCACACCTGGCTAATTTTTGTATTTTTAGTAGAGACAGCGTTTCACCATGTTGACCAAGCTGGTCTCAAACTCCTGACCTGAGGTGATCTGTCCCTCTCAACCTCCCAAAGTGCTGGGATTACAGGCATGAACCACCACATCTGGCCTCATTGTGAGTCTTTTGATTCCATTTAAGTGTTCAGCCAAGGGCATGTGTTGTTCAATACAGTAATTTTAAATTAAGAATAATTAATTTGATGTAGTTATTAGCCAGTTGTCACCATGCTGGTGTGTTGTTCACTAATGCCAGATCTTCTAGTATTTCCAGAAATTAAAAAATCTACCTTTGTACCTGAAACCTCACAACTTTTAGATGTTGGGAATGAAATCAATATATTTGGAAACAAAGGGCAGGGCTAACGCACACTTCTGCGGGCCAGATGTGGCTGAAGGGCAGCCAGGGTGCTATCTTTGCTTTATAAAGGACAGTTAGGCTTCTAGAATTGTTGGGAACACTGTATCTGAACTTGTCTGTGTTTGAGAAAAGAAACCTCCTTTGCCAAAACTGCTAATTTTAAAATTGCCCTGAACGTGATATTCGCAGTGGTCTGTTGACACAAGTAATAGTAAAGCAGAATTGCATGATAATTATTAAATCTCTTCTAATAGATTGCAGCACTGTGGACAGATTTGTTAATTTTGCCAGTGTTACTGGGGCAAGAACAGTAGGTATCCCCTTATTCCCTTTCTGGGCTTGTTCCAAGTGTCTGATCAGTAAATAGTGGCTAACAAAGGTCATCAGCAGACAGATTTAATTTCTTAGATAAATGTAAGAAATTGGGAAATGCTGCGTCTTCAGCTTCATTATCCTTGTGTATGAAGGGCAACACCTTCCATATATATGTGTGTGTGTGTGTGTGTGTGTGTGTAGTCATCCATTCATCATTTAATATGTGTTTTTCTATATGCCTGGAATATTTGCCTGTCAAAATCAATTTGCCACTGTTTTCAAGTTTTTCCTCCAGTGTTGAGATTCTCTTCTAAATGTAAGCCAGACGGTGACCCACCTGAAGTGGTTTAAATGGGCTATCCCCAGGGGTACACAAAGAGCTCCAATCAATAGCAAGGTCCCTTTTGTCTCCAGGCTCCAACTGTCCTTCCTCATTTCAAAGAAGGGGGAAGAGGAACTTGCAGTTCTGTCCCCTTGGGGTAAGGGCCGTGGGCTCTAGTTCCTGTTAATCCCCTGGGACAGTTCCTAATTGCCTGACCTCTTCCGTTCCAGAAAATAGCCCCGTGTCCCCGCCGCCTGCCTGAGGCCAAGGGCTCCTGTGGCACTGCTGCTCTTGCCCCTGCCTTAGCCATTCCTTCTCGTTCTGCACCCATCCACTAATGAGAATAATTGGCTGCCCTCTCTACCCAGCTGCACAGGCTTGTCATCCCTCTGTCTCTGCCTTTCTTCAGCACGTGCAGAAAGAGTTTCCTTAGGCTGAAGCTGTCAAGTAATGACTTTAAAAGTCATCCCACACAACCAGGCCCAGAGCACAGAGTTTAATAAAATCTCTCTGATGTTACGAGGCCACGTCAGGGACTGCACATTTCTCTATTTTGCGGGATTACTACCGTTAAAAGGATTTTCTGTGATGGGGTCAGTAGAGTTGGGTGCTAGGGATGAGGGCATCTTCTGTATTTGCGGGAGCTTAAATCCAAAAAGCCCTAAGATGAGGGTGTGCACTACCCTAGGCCTGTGAATATCAAAGTTTTCAGAAATTAAAGAGCCATGCCAAAATGAATTAGCTTAGAAACATTTCCGTATAATCCTCCAGTCTGCACATCAGCTCTCTGTTTGTGAGTGTGTATCCTCCAGGGCACAGCCTCTGTGTCAGATCCGAGGCACAATGCAAGGAAAGCAAAGAGAAATAAATCACTTCCGTGGCTCCAGCCATAAGAAGTAGTTAGGATGCGTGTGCAGTAATAAAATATTTATAATAATAGGCAGGGTGTTTCTTTGAGAGGAGCATAGGGGTTATGTCCTTTAAAAACATTCTCCTGTTTATTTCTGTATAAAAAATCATCTTGTTCTAGCTGAGATGGTCTCCTGGGCAACATATCCTACCAGCAAGAGGAGGCTGCCCTGCACTTCCGTTATTAATTGTGACCTTCTTACACATCCTGTGACTATTACAAAAGCAGTCGGAGCCACTGGTCAGAACGGGCCAACATGCCTGTTCCGGAGGGGAGCACAGGCTCTTCGGAAGATGTGAAGTCTGCAGTTTGTTTTTCACAGTGGTATAAAGAGTGGTCCCGGAGAAGATGGGTGGCTCATGCAGGTGTAGTTTCTTATAACTCACAGTTATCTCTTCCATACTTCTCAGTAGAAGAGCCGTGTTTAAAAATATATATATATTTAGGGAGTGCTTTACACCTTCACATCTCTTGTACATTCAGTGTCTCCTTTGACTCTTGCAACAAGCATGGAAATGCTACCGTCATTCCCACCTTAAAGAGGTGGAAACCAAGGCTCGGAGAAGTTTGGAATTTTCCCAACACCACCCAGCTCCTGAGTGGTTGTTGAGCAAAGTCTTCCGATGCTGGTTCCTCGGCTCTTCCCTGGACTGTGCATTGTGTAGCGTTGGGTCCACACAAGGAATCCTTCTCAAGGGCCATCCTCGTTCTGTCGTAGTGATTACAGACGGTGCTTGGGGCCACCATGCCCAGGCTACTCAGGTGCATGGTGTGGGCACGGAGCCAGTTTCTACCTTTTCCCAAATGGCTGTCTCAGTCACATTTGTTTCAAGAGTTCATCTTTTGTAGATGGTGAATGTAAGTGGAAATGCCTGTCACACAGGTGAATCCATGCCAAGCCTTTCTCCCACTGGCCCACTGCCTTGAGGACCATCGTGCTATGTCGGCGACCTGAACACCCCCTGGGAATTGCACGTGTACTTGGTTGGTGCAGGTCGTTCAGTAAAGGAGTCAGAGGTGGACACATTATGAAGCCAAAACGTGGTTTGATAACTTGACTTTCATTTTTGCCCATCACGGAATAAGGCCGTCCCGTCCCTGAGTCTCCCACCAGGCAAGCCCAGGGGCCACTTGCTCCTTTCAGGCAAGAGACAGAAGGCAGCCCGGTACCTTCTTGCTATTCAAGGGACATCTGCTTTTGATCATTTGTTTTCTATCAAACAGGCCCCACCAAGTGCACATGGTCGGCAGCAAGAGGGAACGAGAGGATGCTCTCTGAAACTCCTGATTTTCAAGCCGTCCTTCTCTTGGGAAAGTTATTTTACATTTTAGGGCCTGAATTTCTGGGTTTCTTCTCTGCTTCGATGTCAGCAGCCTTACTGATGTTCCGGTCCACGCGTGTCGTCTTGGCTCCTTCCCCTTCGTGCTCAGGTGCCCTGCCCCCATGGGACCACATAGGTAATGGACATGGAAACTGCAGAGCCACCGAGCTCAGAGATCAGCATCCTGCAGGAGCCTGAAGATTTCCACACACCGTGAAAAGCCAGCAGATTTGCTGCCACTCAAGTGTGGGACTGTGAGGCAGAAGCCACTTCTGGGATAGAAATCAGAGGCTCTTGGAAGCTGCAGGATGACAGGGCAGTCACTCCTACTGGGTTTACCCAGGGGTGCTGATCCAGGAAGGCTCAGTAAATTACCTGAGTCAGTTCAGTGCATTAACTTCTATAGACCAAATCATGGAGAAACGTTTGCAATCAAAATAATACGATGACAGATCTTCTCACAGTACACACAACAGTTTCCTAATTTATACATCCTAAGTCCTGAGTTGTGTATATTGTCTTCTCTTTTATAAGCACTACTTGAAATTTCCGCCTTTCGTACACTCAGAACGTAGTACCCAAGCGCCCACAGAGGTCTTCTACAAAGCAGTTTGTCATACTCAGCACTGCACTGGTATTTTAGAAGTTTCAACACCTTTTCAAAGCCGCTTATTCCAGTTCTGGGATGCACTTGGACAAACCCGCAATTCCTAAATGGAACTCTGTCCCTGGAGACCACGAGACGGTGTGCCGCCCGCTTCTGGAGCTCTGTCCCTGGAGACCACGAGACCGTGTGCCACCCGGTTCCGGAGCTCTGTCCCTGGAGACCACGAGACCGTGTGCCGCCCGGTTCCGGAGCTCTGTCCCTGGAGACCACCAGACCGTGTGCCGCCCGGTTCCGGAGCTCTGTCCCTGGAGACCACCAGACCGTGGGCCGCCCGCTTCCGGAGCTCTGTCCCTGGAGACCATGAGACCGTGTGCCACCCGCTTCTGGAACTCTGTCCCTGGAGACCACGAGACCGTGTGCCGCCCGGTTCCGGAGCTCTGTCCCTGGAGACCACGAGACCGTGTGCCGCCCGCTTCTGGAGCTCTGTCCCTGGAGACCACGAGACCGTGTGCCGCCCGGTTCTGGAGCTCTGTCCCTGCAGACCACGAGACTGTGTGCCGCCCGGTTCTGGAGCTCTGTCCCTGGAGACCACGAGACCGTGTGCCGCCCGGTTCTGGAAGTCTCCCCACGTTCAGACTCACAAGAGGAAAGTGTTTCTCAAACTGATTTACAGCAACTCCCCGACGGAAATCATGTCTGGAATTTTTGGTCCTAAGTCACTGTAGTCCCTAGACGAGTTACATGTAAAAAGCTGTAATTTTTTCTTAACCGTAATGTAGTTGAAATGTCAGTTCCATTTTGCGTTGAGCTTATAATTACTGTGAGATTAGAGCACACTTTTCAAAATCATTGAGTTAGGAAATAGTATTGTTTCGGGCTGACCTCTCAGCTCTGCTCTTGTTTATTTACTTCCATTTCCCCGTCACCCTGAGGAATAACCGTGGGTAAACACACTTCCCGGGTTCGGTTATTTCCTGATGGTGATGGGCTTCCTTCGTGGCACAGGTACCGCCTGGCTGGCCTTCCCGGAGAGTACCAGCAGCGGAACATCACCAGCCCGGAGGTGAACTACTGCCTGGTGACAGACCTGATCATCTGGACACAGTATGAGATACAGGTGGCAGCGTACAACGGGGCCGGCCTGGGCGTCTTCAGCAGAGCCGTGACCGAATACACCTTGCAGGGAGGTAAGCTTGTCTCCAAAACCACGAGGTGGTGGGATCTTTGCTGGGGAATGGGATTTGCAAAGTTTGATTGGAGTATGTTAGAAAGAAAAACAGAGAATTCAGTCCCCTAGGGAGCGTTTACAAGAAAATTCATCACATATTTAATGGGATCTCTCTAACTATTCCTCAACGAAAGCAGAACCGTAGACGGGAGACAAATGCTATTCCAACTGCTTTTTCAGGGACTCAGGAGTTTCTGTACATGCCCTTTAGTGGGTGCATCTAGTCTTGAAAAGCCTGTGGAACTAGATTGTTCTAAATGGATTGATTGTAGATTTTCGAAGGAAAGTTGGCTGTGGAGTTCTGTGTGACACTGTGAGCATTTTTCAAAGAGCACGGTGATGATTCACAGTTTTATTTTTAACAATGGAACGTGATTATTGGTCATCGGATTTGCAACTTGCTACTTTCTTTGGTTGCCCTTTCCAGTTACACAAGCAAACAATCTACTAGGTCAATAAAAACCGCCCCCACCCCTGGAAAAAATGACCAGACATAAACGTCATAAAGCCAGTGGTTCTTAAATACACGTGGTGAGGCCCGGGCGTGGCATGGCAGGCCTTCCACAGCATCTGGTTCCTCCGCTGTTTTCTGAAGGATTCAGATCTCAGCCCCAGGAGGAGCGAGTGTTGGGAGGTCTCCGCATCTGCATTTCACTGTTACTGCTCTTAGCAGGAATAAATAGACCCTTTCCCAACGCAGCCTCATTTGTCCCACAGCAACCCAAATCCTTGCCCAGGGAAGTCATTTTTCTACCGAGTCTAAAACCCTTTTTCACTCTGCGATTTATGCCCTCGCCTGATTCACAGGTGTGATTTTATTTGCTTAGGCATTTTTATTGCTACCAGACCTTGACCTTTTTCAAATGATAAGGTTTCTGACTGACCACTTCTCTCCCCAAATCATGCCAATATCAAGACCTAATGTTCCTTGATATTACATGCTGTTATTATCATCCCGTATTGATTGGCTGTCTGTTGTCATCTGTAAGTCCATAAATCCTCCTTTATAAATTAAGTGCAGTCAGTTCTGCCTGCACAGTGACTAGCAGAAATATTTAAAATGCAGGACAGCCAGGAAGGACCTGTTCTTGTGCAAGTAAATCTTGATTACTCATTCGAGAAGGAAAATGGCTGAAAACCTGGACAGTTAATGTTCGCTTTAGTCTATTTAATCAAATAACAATAAATGTAGAAACACTTAAAAAGACTCCTATCGCTATTAGTAATCCCTTGTTACTATTAACCATGACTGTTTCATTTTATTTCCGGTGCATTTGAGTTCTGCATGGGGCAGAGGGAAGCGGATCTCCACCTAATTGAGAAGGCCTTTGAGGCTTTGGACTCTGGCTTTTATTCAGTTGGCATTGGGGAACCATGAAAGGCTTAAGATCTGTGAGTGACATGAGCAAAATGCTACATTAGGAGGCGGAATCTGTGCGTGGGTGTGCAGGGAAGGTGGGAGGCAGGGAGCGGAGAATGGCAGCAGGGACTCCAGAGACAAAAAAATGAAGTGATGAGTGTCCCCCAGCTCCGAAGGCTGGCAATGAGAAGAGATAGGGATGTGAGTTTGGGTGGGACGCCATCGTTTTCAAAACAGCTCGCATGGATTCTGGGGTCGTGCCTTCCAGCAACCCTGTAAATGAATGCAATTTGGCCCCACAAGCACCTCCCAGTACCTCCTGTACAAGAGGGCTGGGTATAAAAACAGGAACGGAGCCCAGACCCTTCCTCAAAGTGTGAACAGTTTATAGGAAAGAGCAGGGCAAGTTTCATTTTCAGGCACCTGTTCATAGGAAGCTGAACATTAGCTAGTTGGATTTTAGTTGGTCTGAAATCACACAGCCCACAAAGGCAGAACCAGCACTGACATCCAGGCTTCCGAGACAAGGCCGCTGTTCTCTGAGTGACATCGGCTGCCTCTAATGTCACTAGGACTTGAGAGGAGATTTCAGCCTGGTTGATGAGGGATTGTGCTTAGACTGGTGGGCTAGGGTGCAGGGTTCCCCCTAAGATGGTGGCACAGTAGGTGGGTTCTCACCTCCATGTCCAAGTAGTCTTCTGGATAGGGAAATTACTAAATTATGCTTTGCTCTGGGAATGAACTTTTTCCCGTATGTGATGAGAACCTGACTTCGATTAGTCCAAATCTGGTTCATCATCTATACTTTAAAAAAAAAAAAAAAAAAACACTATTCATGAGTGAACATTTGTAACTAATGCTGTACGTGCAGTTTCCCGTCTGCAGCTTGGCTTCTGTGGCAGCACCATGCTTCCCTTGCTTGGGTGTTTGACATTGAGGGTTGACATACAGAGCCCCTCATGGGTCTCGGGGCACCCAGCAGACACAGTCGTAATTCCTGTCTTCGTGTCTTCTTCATGTCTTCCGCCTCGGCACTCCCAGCGGCACCCTCGTATGGAAGTGGATGGCCCTACCTTCTTCCCTTCTAAGCCCAGTGTGGAAACGCAGGTGGGCCTGTCCTCCCTTTGAAGGACTCAGCCCTCCCTCTCTGGATGTTTCGGACTCCCGTGTGCTCAGTGGGATGGTAAATGCCCCTGGGGAATCTCCCCAGAGCTTGCTGGGATTGGGCAGGTCGTGTCATACTTTTCTTCCAGACCCTGGCTCCAACCCTAAACTTATTCCTCAGCCACTAGGACAAACATCTCAGGCTTGTGACAGCCTCGGAGACGCCGGGCACCACCCACCTGACCCTTCTTTGTTCGAGGGACATGCTTGAGTCCCAGGATAAATTGGGGATGATAACACTTACCAGAGCATTAGGACACTGTCCCTTGGATGTGGCTGGGATCAGGCATGTGGCAGGCAGCAGGAGGGGGTGGCCCATGGTCTAGTGGACAGGGCTGGCTCCGCTGGCTGCACAGCCTCGATGCCTCGGTGTAACTGCACTTATCCCTCAGCGCTATTCAAGGACCTCCCAGCCAGCCACATCGCCCCTGAACAGAATGAAGCGAGGGTATGAATTCTGTCCCAAATCCACGTTCCTGTCTGTGACAGGACATGGCTAGGGGAGGATGTCAGACCACCAGTCTGGAAGGGAAGGGAAGGGAAGATGGGGGCAATGCTTGCCTGGCTCTGGAGGGGAAGACGCAATGAATGGGATGGAAAGGGATCTGCCTAAAAGGTGGCACATGAGGAAGCAGAGTGACAAGAGGGACCGTGAATGCATCAGGGGGACAGTGGTAGGGGCGCAGTGAGCGCAACGTGTTTCACACACACGTATATATTCACACATCTTTCTGGATACGTGAGCCCCAGAAAGAGCCCTTCCCGGGAGTCCATCCAGGCCTCACTCCGTGTTTACTACTAATGTGCCTTCAAGAAGCACCTGTGCCATTCTGCGCCTCTAGTTTTCATGTGTAAAACTGTGGCATTTACACCTGTCCTGACTCAAAGAGCACTGTGAAGAGAAGATGAGATACTACATGAGAAAAGGCTTTGAAAACGAGGAGACATCACACACATGCGGGCAGTGTGGCTTCGTCTGTTTTCGCTTTTCCACTGTGATGACGCTACATCACACTAGAGTATTTGAATGCTTCCACAGGGGCCATCACACAGGTAGAGACCTGGGGGCCATCTCCCTGCTGACAGTAAAATCAAACCCAGACACTCAAGATTTGATGTGAGTGCCTGCGGTGTGCGTGGAGCTGTGGGACAGGCCCTGACCCCGAGGGTAGGGAAGATATCTGGTGTGTCATCATCCTTGGGGACCTGCAGTCTGGCCCCAGAGGCGAGACTGACATTCATGAAATAAGAGCAGGAAGTAGAAGAGAGATCAGCCTCACTCATGCACGGTCACCCCTCGGTTATCTGCAGATCGGGGTACTGGGCGTGCTTTGAAGAGTCCTGAGTTAATACCCAGAGGAGCGGGCTGTGGACACAAGGCTGTGCCTAAAGAGGCTCTCCCTGTGACCCACGTGGCGGCAGTACCTCAGAGTTTGCAGCTGTGTGTGTGGCTTTGGAATGGTGTCTGGCTGCTCACAACAGACCCACAGTGACAGGAGCTTAAACAGGGTGGAGCTGTGTTTTCACTTCTCTCACATC